GGGGAGAGACAGGGGGCTGGGGAGAGACAGATAGGGACAAACAGACATGGATAGCATTCTTTCTCCTTTAAGTGTGTCTGTGTGTAAATTTTTATACATGGATCAGAGGATTAAAGAAAGATACTTCATGTATTACTCCCCTACTCCCCAGTTTATACCTCAAAGCTTTCTGCAAAGCGAGGGACATTGCATTATTTTCTGTGCCATTAGCTTCCTTGTCCATTTAGGCATCTGCCATTTATCTACTCAAATCAGCCACAAGAAGTTCAAACCTACTTCACTAAAGAGATGGGTTTTAGAAAGACCCAGCTGGTGGCAGATGACCCAATCCTTCTGCAAAAATAAATCTTCCTGCATATCCATTTTTGGGCTACTGAAGTGGGTTTTAACACATTGTTGTTGTTAAGTGCCTTAAATTCTGACTCATAGCAACCCTGTATAGGGTTTACAAGGAGTGGCTGGTGAGTTTGAACCACTGATCTTGCAGTCAAGTGCTTATCCTACGGCTCCCTACCAAGACTCCTTATCCTCCCCATATCTCAACAGCCCCAAGGAGGGCCCTGGAATTCTGAACTGCTCCTTGCAGCCATCGAGTCTATTCAGACTCCTAGCAACTCTACATAGGGTTTCTAGACTGTAAATCTTTACTGGGGCAGACAGCCCCATCTTTCTCCCTTGGAGCAGCTGGTGGGTTTGAACCTCCAGCGTTGCAGTTAGCAGCCCAACACCTAAGCCACAGCACCACCAGGACTCAAATCTTCACAGTCAGTGGGGACGACTACATACTTGTAGAATTATAAAAAAGACTGAAATTGTTTAAATAAAAACAAGAGGTGCTACAGTTTGAGCAAGAAGTCTTGATGGTATGATGGTTAAGCAGTTGACTGCTAACCAAGAAGTCAGAAGTTCAAACCCACCAGCAGCTCCAAGGGAGACACGCCCTGGTGCTCTGCTCCTGTCAAGATTACAATTTAGGAAAACCCAGTTCTACTCTCTCGTACAGGGTGGCTATGAGTCAGAACCTACTCACCAGCGCGCACATACAGCGTCAACAGTGTTTTCCTTTGTGTCTTTGAGAGGATGAGGGTGGTGAGGTGTCTGTGGGGTGGTCCTTACCCAGTCATGCTTTATCTAAACCTCTCCTGGTTTGTCTGTTCTCCATAGGTCACACAATCTCCTGCGGGCACCCAGGTGCTGGAAGAACTGCCTGGGGACCATGTCAATGTGGCTGTGCAGGTGCGGGGGGGCCCTTCTGATCATGGAGCCACAGCCTGGATTTTGGTGAGCATCTTGCTGGTTTAGGATCAATGGAGATTATTGACTCACAACTAGTCACCAGGAGCTGTCAAATTGATTCTGTATGCCAAAGTAGAACTATTCTATGCTACACTCGATTTCAATTGGCTGCTGTTTTCAGAAGTAGATTGACAGGTCTTTCTTCTGAGGTGTCCGAGTGGACTCAAACCAGCAACCTTTCAGTTAGCAGCCAAGTGCATTAACCACCTTTTGTATTTTTATAACGTGCAACAGTTTTCAAAGCTGGTTTTGTCCATTTCTCATTGGACCCCATCGTAGCTCTAAAGCAGGCAGGACAGGTAGTGTATTCCCTAGGACCCCCCACTTCCCCCCGCGAAGATGTCCATGTCCCTGGAACCTGTGAATTTGCCGTTACATGACAAAGGAAAATTAAGACTTCTAATCTGACAACTTTAAGGAGCCTTAGTGGGCCTTGAGCTGCTAACTGCAAAGTCAGCAGTTCAAACCCACCAGCCTCTCCATGGGAGAAAGATGAGGCTGTCTGTGCCCATAATGATTTACAGTCCTGCAAACCCTATGTAGGGGCACTGTGAGTAAATGGCAGTGGATTTGGTTTGGGTTTAATCATCAGACTTTAAGATAAAAAGATGGGTCCACTGTCATCACAGGAGTCCTTTAATGGTGAAGAGAGAGGCAGAAGGGTCAGAGGCTTTGCAGATAGAGGAAGGGACCACAAGCCAAGGAATGCAGGTAGCCTTATTAAGCTGGAAAAGACAAGAGACTGGTTCGCCTCTAGAACCTCTAGAAGGAAGGTAGACTGGGCTTTGGCCCAGGGAGACCCATTTAAGACTTCTGAACTCTAGAACTGTAGATAAATTTGAAGTGTTTTAAACTGAGTTTGTGATGCTTTATTATGGCAGCCAATAGAAAGAGAGTACACCTGCCTAAGAGCACACGACAGCACATTTGATCCCCTTCAGAGCTCTTTTCTGCTATGTGCAGCTTGCTTGGTGACAGGAGAGAACACCAGGTGATTGAGAAAGCGATGGAGTGAGGAGATGGGACTCAGGTTGTGCCAGTCACTCAGCTTCTGTTGTCACCACTGTAAGAAGGGGGCTCAGGACTGGACAGTATCTGAGAGCCCTTTTGATCTTAGTAATCTGTGATTTACCTGTAGTGAGGACAGAAACCCCTCACCCTGAAGGGACAACTGTTACAAATTCAAAATGAGATCGTGTGTGTGCTCCCTCTCCACAGTCTGTCAGTGATTTACCATTGACAGAAGCCGGGAGATCTGCACTGCAGAGCGGGTGAGAACAAGATGCTTTCTCAGGCATCTTCTTCATGTTCTTTTCACTTTTTATTGTGACGGTTTCACATAACCACCAACCACCACAGAAAAAGTCAATTTCCATTCATGCATATTTTGTTTTATGCTGTTAATCGCAATCCGCACACATTTTTGCTGACCTCCCTCTTAATTGTATATTGCCTTTCCAGTCATGGTGTGGCACTGTAGGATAAGCATTAGACTGTTAACTGCAAGGTCGGTGGTTTAAACTCCACAGCAGCTCCTCAGAAATCCTATACGGGGTCACCATGAGTCAAAACGGACTCAACGGCACTCAACAACCACTCTCTAGTTAGTAGTTTCCCTTCCCTTCCCCTCCCAGGCCTGTTAACCATCAAAGAATGTTTCCTTTAGTGTGGAAATCCTTTTTTGACTTTTTATAATAGCGGTTTCATATAATATTTGTCCTTATTGACTTATTTTAGTCAGCATAATGTCCTCCAGGTTCATCCATGCTAGGAAGTGTTTCATAGATTCATTTCTTTAACTTTATCTTGCATTCCATGTGTGTACCATAGTGTGTGTGTATCCATTCTTCCATTGATGGGCATTTAGACTGTTCCATCCTTTGCTATTGTGAATAGTACTGCAATGAACATGTGATTGTTGTTGTGTGCTGTAGAGTCAGCTCCGACTCAGTGACCCTGTGTAAGGTTTCCGAGGCCGTAAGTCTTTACAGGAACAGAAAGTTGGTGGATTAGAACTTCTGACCTTGTGGTTCGCAGTCCAGCTCATAACCCACTAGAGACGACTAAGGCTCCTGCAGTGAATATTGTTGTTTTTAAGTGCTGTTGAATCAGGTCCGACTCATAGCAAACCTGTATAGGGTTTCTGAGGAGCAGCTGGTGAGTTTGAACCTCTAACCTTGCAGTTCAAACCAACCTTGTGATCTAGTGCGTATTATCCTAAAGCGCCACACTAGGACTCCATGCCCTGGACATGGATGTGCATATATCTGTTCATGTCACATGGTATTTTTATTTCCAACTTTCTGAGGAAGCTCCTTCCCGTTTTCCACAGTGGTCGCACCATTTTACAGTCCTTCCAGCAATGTTTGAGGTTTCTAGTCCCTCCATACCTTTACCAGCATTTGTTGTTTTCTGTTTTTCCAAGATTTACTATTAATGCTGGGCTGGTCATCTGCATTTTCACCCACATCTCTTCTACCCCCAGCTGAAAAACTTGGAGTGCAGTTGGGTCTGTGGCTGTTTCAAATAAAGTACACTCCTCCCCACCCCCATTTTCTTACAAGGAAAGATGTGGGATGGTTATCTTTGATGTTATTTTATAAAAGCTGCTTCCACGAGGAGCATTTTTGGTCATTCTTTAGTCAGTAGATATCTGTTCTTTTGAAATTTTAACTGGTAGCATTTTCCTTATCATCGACTCGTATTCCTTTAAAAAAAGGGATGAAATAGCTCACAGTAAAAGGCAGGAATACATAGGAATTGTTAAAATGAGAGCCACAATCAAGAAGATGCCCCTGCAGAGGACAGCTTGGAAGAAAACTGAACTCTGCGTTTGTTGGCAGCCAAGGCAAGATGAGAGATAAGTGAACTGTATCTTATTCTGAAAAAGAGTAAGTGTTCAGATGTATCATTAGGAATAAAATAAGCATTAAATTTTTCTTTGCCAAATATAACTATTCATATAAGAGAACACTTACCTGTTCTCTCTCTTGACTGCTTTATTTCTAGATCAACCCACTAAAAAAAGAAGATGAAGGTGTATACCAATGCCATTCAGCCAACATGGTTGGGGAGGCCCAGTCCCACGGCACAGTGACAGTCATAGAACTGAGTGAGTACCAACCAAACCCCCCACCTCCCAACTCCAGATGACCCACATGATGGAGTACATGCTGTAAGTCATTTTTAATATTTATATACACATGTCACTGGAGATTTGCAGTGGCTTCTAAGATATGTAATGAAAAGACATAAACCGAGGACACCAGAAGGAAGGCAAAACTGGTGTAGGACTATATATAGGCAGAATCTATAGTAGGTTCTGCACGGAGAGCACTCTGGGCTGCCTAGTACAGCAAGTCAATGAGCAGAAATGTTAGGAGTTTAGGAGGCGCAAAAATATGATAACACCAACCATTCTTCCCACAACCCTCTCTACTCCTCAGTTGGGGTCTATAATCCGCTGAGACACACAGAATGCAGACATCATACTAACAGTTATAGATTTATTAATAAGGAAGCTAACGGGTTGCAATACAGAGTCAGAATATGCTCAGGGCACTGTTGTTCTAGTCGGTTTTGGATAAATGCCCACAGGACACAGCACTCCGCCCTAAGCCTCAGCATAAAGGCACTCAGTTCCAGCTTTGAGGGTTAGCAAACCTTGCTCCCCCACTTAAGTACCTGGAGGCGCCCCACTCTACTTACAAGCTTCCTGCCCAAAGCCACCCAGCTGTCCTTGCTCTACCTGGTGCTCCTCTGCCACTCCTCCAATGTCACAGCTTTCTGTCCCTGGATGGAGGAGGTACACTGTACAGGGAGCTGGTCTTCAGTCTTCTCTGATGGTAGTGAGATCTCCCCTCTTGCTTCTGAGATGGCTCACTTTATACCCACTTTAGAGCTCTACATTTTCGCAATTACATTGAAATCCATTACTGTCCTCAGCTGAATCATGTCATCTTGTCAGTATGTTTTGACCTTGTGCTTCAAACTGACCTTGTGGTCCAGTGCCTTATCCTGCTGCACCACACTAGGATTGCAGCATGTACTCCATCCATCGGAAACCCTATACAGGGTTGCTGTGAGTCGGAACCGAGTCCGTGGCACACCACAACCAGCACCACCACATATTTCAAAAGAGATGGACTCAAGATACAAGCTAATCTTATTATAGATTGTGTCCCACCTCATTAACGTAACTGCTTCTCACATAACTGCTTCACTAACATCACAGAGGGGAGGATTTGCAACTCATAAGAAAACATCAGACCACAAAGTGGAGGAAACTACAGGATACTGAGTATTGTGGTTCAGTCAAATTGACACATATTTTGTGGGGACACAGTTCAATCTCTAACAGTTGTGAACGTCGTGTATGTTCATGAAATGAAAAAGAGCAATTTTTTCTGTGTTGGAGGCTGAAGGGAATATTTTCTCTGGGTCCTTCTCCAGAGGACACTGAGTGACTTAGCAGACAGCTTCATCGTGACAGCATCTGTGTGGAAACACCCTGCAAAGAAGTCTGCCTGAGTTGCATTTGTTTGCCCCTAGATTCTGCCATCACCAGATTTTGCCTTCCTGCCTGCGATTTAGCACCACATTGCTCAGAGGGCGGGGGCAGAGAGTCTCCAGGTCTCCGCTGGCCAGGAGGCTCATGGTCCTCATAGGCACGTAGGTGAGAGCTGGGTGGCATCTGTCTCCTGCACGGTGGGATTGTGAACTAGAAAATAAGTGGGTCTCTTCACTAGCCAGTCTTTGCTGCATAAAAATTCCTAACGCTGACTGGTTCATAACACACACATTCATAGTTCTTGCTCACATTCTGTACCTCAGCTACAGGTCTGCTATGGCCCTGCCCCACGTGTTTGCATTTCAGGACCCAGCCAAAGAAGCAGCCCTGCTGTGTGTTGTGCCCATTCTTGTGGCCGAGGGACCAACAGGAGGCGAGCCCACACAAACAATCTCATTTGCCATTGCTGCTCAGATGTGACATATGTCACACTCCTTACAGTCCATCAGCCAAAGCAAGTCACCTGGGTACACCCAGAGTCAATGGTGTGTGTGGGGGTACTCCTTCCAGGAGGCAGAGGCCGGATGTGAGACCATCTTTAGGACCAGGAGGGGGACGCTTCCTCAACAGTTGACATCAATAAGGCCAGCAATGATTTTCATAACAGAACTGGAAAAATTAGAAGCAAATTGGATAGGATTTGTTAAAAGCAGGTGGCCTTTCACAAAAAAGATCAGGATTACTGGTTGGATAGAATCTGGTGGAACCCCCAGGATTATGGTCTTTTCCGTGAGTCAATTTTTAGCCAAACTACAGACAGGTCTATAAGAGGAACAGTCACACCGGGGAGCTAGGCACACCTTAAAATAACCAACCATTGGAGATCAAAAGGGCAACTTTTACCCAAAGACAGAGATCAGAACGGTTAGGGAAAAGGAGGATGGGAAACGGGAAGCACACAGAGGAAGTGGGATTTTGGGTGTCCTTGTTGGTTCTGGCTCATCGTGACCCTATGAACAACAGAACCAAAGTGGGAACTAGGGATTGCAATCAATAACATACAGCAAAATGTGGAAGAATTGTCAAGTGGAAAATTGATGATCTGCTCTGTAAACCTTTACCCGATTTACAATAAAAAGTTAAAAAAAAAAAAAGGAGGAAGGAAGAAAAGGAACAGCAGCAACAAAGTGGAAGGATTTTGCTGCAATCATCATTCTGTTCCTGTCGCCCCATGAGGTACACTCTTTCTGTGTGCCCAGCTGTGCACTGGGTCTGCAGGGAAAACAAGGTGTGAATGGTGTTGTAATACAGGACTGCAGTGGTTTGGGGACAGGGAACTCGTGGGAGTAAGGTAAGAGAAGTAGTATTGGACTGGGGATGAGTGTGGCTGAGTAGGTGGACTTCCTAGAAATAGTGAAGGAAAACTGCAAAGCATTAGGAGATTGGTGGGGATTAGGAGATAATCTTCCTGATACTTGACTTTTGTTTTTACTACTTTAAAGAACTAATAAAACCAGTAGCCAGCAAGACAACTTCCATTTATGCCAACACCATATGTGTCACAGTAGAACTATGCTCCGTAGGATTTTTAGTGGCTCATTTTTTGTAAGTCGATCGCCAGGCCTTTCTTCTGAGGTGCATCTGAGTGGACTTGAGCCTCTAAGCTTTCATTTGGCAGCTGAGTACACTAACCATTAGCACTATCCAGGGACTCTAAAGAACGCATAAAAGGGGGTTTTAAAAAGTTAGTAGAAAAATGGAATGAAAAGATAATGACATTTTCCCACGAACTTTTTGAAGCACCCTTTTACATAGTATGTATTTTTAAAACATAAATGATTCTGTAATATAATTGTAGTCTGTTGTAGGTGAGATTTTCAAAAGGGCGTCCCAGAGAAACCATGGAATTTTGAAGAACATCACCGCCCAGGTCTGAATTTCCCTCTACAACTCACAATGTTGGCCAGCCTCGCTTACATACCTCCAGGGATATGGAACTCACTACCTCCAGTCATTGAAAAGTTCTTCCTCTTATTAAGTTGGAACCTATCTTACCGAGACTTTTGTCCTTTGCTCTAGAATCTACCTTTGGGCTCTCCTCTAGTTGCCTTGGGTACCATTCACTGCCAGGGGGAGATTTGACAGTCAGGGTTATTTTCTTACCTTTCATTTTACTCATCTAAATTGTTATTGTTATCAGGTGTCATTGAGTTGGTACCGATGCATAGTGACCTTATGT